CACCTTTTATTTGGTGTGTGGAAGGTGTGCGGAAGAGGGGGTAGTCTTATACGGCGAGTATATAACAAATTCTATATTTTGAGTGGAAATGTTGGGGGGGTCGTCTTATACGCCCAGTCATCTTATACGCCGGCAAATACGGTACAAACCAAAAGCTCTTTGTACCGCCAAGAACACTTCTAGGTTTGCAGACAGTATTATTGTAATTATCATTTATTGTGAACTGGGGGGCAAAGGGAAGAGAGGATTAGAAATTTAAAAAACAGGTATAAAGCAGGTGACAAATCATACAACACTTTCAGATCTCCACATTTTGTGGAAGTAAACCCTATGAAAACAAACAATGATCTCAATTATCATTACTTGCAATCAAGTCAAATCCAACTTACGATGACCTTTCGAAAGGCTTCCTAGACATACAGCCCACAGAAGCAGCTCATCACTCCCTTCTGGTAGCATCCTGGGATTGTCTAGCTCGTCTAAGAGAACGCAAGCTGATGGTTCTTCTACAATGCACCCTAGAGAACTGAACCTCTGACCTATGGCTCCAAAGCTAGCTGTTCCAACTCAAGAGTTATCCATGTATCCTTTTCATCCACTGCAGAAAGAAAGAGTTGCGCGTCATCCACATCTTGATGACATAAAGCTCCATATTGACCTCCCCCAGCAGTCTCATATAGATGTTGAATAGCAAAGGGGAGATTATCGAATTCCTTCAAATTAAAGGAAGCCAGATTTTGGTTGAATATCAGGAAAAACTTGCTGTTAGAGCAGCATGACAATGGAACCAGTGACCTCAGGAGTTGGTAAGTGCTCTGACACTGGAGGCATTCAAGAAAAACTTGGATAATCACCTTTTAAAAAGTTATAAATAACACACAGCACCATGTGCAAAATGACAACTATACAATGATTTTGTTCACTTACAAGTTCTTAACTCTGCTTCCAAATATTGTATTTGCTGTTTCATCACTATATTTTCTATTATGGCATCAAGTCTGAGTATACAGCACTGTAAAATCTAAACAGAATGGTGCTCTATATAGTATAATAATCAATAAAAGTACAATATAAATACCAAACAATGTTCAAATGAAAACAAGTATTTTTTAAGTTTTATTACAGCATTTTTGGTTCTTCCAAGTTCACAATGCATTTTTATTGCCATATGTATTTCAGTTTGAGTCTTCCATAAGAAAGGGTGACGTTGCACACATCTGTAAAGGGCCTTGAGGTATAAACTTTGAGCCTCAAATCTTTGCAGCTTTATTCTAAACAGGGAAATCTGAGACAAGGCATGGACTTGCTCATTTGCAACTAGCACATCTGCAGCTTTAAAATTGAGCTGCATGGATAAAATATTGCCCTTGTCAAAGGTTTGTCTTTACTCAACAAATCCCCCATGGTTGAAACAACAGATATGACTGATTTGCTTCCCATATACCTTTTGTTTTTAGTGAACTGCACAAAGGAAATAAATGAAGCCTATTAAACACACTTGGGAATCCAGTCTACAAGCTGGTCTTGTTCTCCTGGCAGAGTTCTAGTTATTTTTAAACTACTGCACTGACTGGTCTACTGAGAAACACAATAGAAGAAGGCAGAACACCATCCATTCACAGGTAACTGCTGAACATCTTGAGACTCTTCATCATCCCATGTAAATTGAGAGCAGAACACCTCCCAGTGTGCGTGCATGCACAAACACACACACCATAGCCCTGGGCCAGCAAATTGCACCAGCAGTAGCTGGGGACTCACTATCCTTCAGGGGAAAAAAAATCTGTCAATAATGATTTAGCTCCAACACTGGGTCCCCAAGATTTTCTTGGACTACAAACTCCCAGAAATCATGGCCACACAGAGAGAGGTAAACTCCTAGCTGTTAGGTTAGAGAAAGCCGCCATTCTTGAGCTGAATTGCCTCTGAGCAAGCCGCCTATTCTCCAGTGACGTTAATGATCTCCTTCCCATTTGGTTACCAAACAAAACAGTTGACTCTTAGGGTGAACCCCTTGGCCCAACACTACCTGCTCTGTCCCAAAAGGATGTATGGGCTGCCTCGGGCTGTGCCCGGTCCTGCAGGCATGCCACGATGTCACAGCATTGCCGAACAAAGAGGCTTCCTGTTTTCAGAACATGTAATGGTGTGGCACTTGGCTTGTTATTGCAGAGAAGTGTGTGTGTGTGTGTGCGTGTTTTAAATGAGACTTTTGAAAAGCAGTCTCATAAAAGGTTTCTTCATATGTTGAAAATCTCATATACTATTTACATCGTTGTGAATTAGGGTATCCTTTGAAGTACATTAGAAACTTTGCATGCCCTTGAGTCAATTCTGACTCATCATGACCCTTTTAGGGTTTTCTAGATATAGGGTACTTAGAAGTGTATTACCCTTCCCTGCCTCTAGGGGGATGTCCTGAGACAGTGCAGCTGGCCCAAGGCCACCCAGGCTGGCTTTTCTCCCAGCAGACACAGTGGGGAATGGAACTCCAACAACTGCATGTTTTTATCATTTACATTCAGAAGCCCTAAAGGATGATTTGCCGTTTCATTTATTTCTCAGGCCAGGCTCTGCTCCCTCAGCATGAGCCTGAGGGCATAAAATGCCAAGATAATTAAGCATCGATTAGCGTTGCTCTTTGCCAGCCGATGAAGTGCTGGTACGGTTGACTGGGAATTCATGCCTGTCTTTGGACTCTCTGCATAAACTTCCGACATAACTTTGCCATGTCTGTAATAAGAGGCCTTGCTGTAGCAAACTAGCCTGGTCTGTAAGCCGAGTCTCTGCTGTTTGTACCGGGCATTTCCTGGCATGTCTTATCAAACTGGCAGGGATGACTCAAAGAATATTCCTGCACCCCTTGGCAAGGCTACGGATGCATGTCAAGCTAGACTGTCAGCCTTTTCCTTAAGATGCAGTCCTTCTGTGGGAGGATTTGAGGTGGTGATGTGTTTTAGGCGTGGAGCTACCTTTCTTCATGCAAAGTTCCAACAGAAAGGGAATATGTACTGTATTTTGATGTCACAAAAGAGGAAGCTTCAGCCTGGATGGGAAAGCAGTCTTGTGGAATCCATCAGCTTCGGGTGGCTGTGCAGAATTTCCCATAGGCTCTTTTTGCCAGCAGTACAAGGAGATTCTAGGTCCCACCACGATGGTGGGTTTTGGCTTCCATTCCAGATAGGTGTGTTGGAAGTGCATGGCTGAACCATGGGATGTTGTTGTTGTTGTTGCTGTTTAGTTGTTCAGTCGTGTCTGACTCTTTGTGACCCCATGGACCAGAGCACGCCAGGCCCTCCTGTCTTCCACGGCCTCCCGGAGTGGGGTCAAATTCATGTTGGTCACTTCGATGACCCTGCCCATCCATCTCATCCTCTGTTGTCCCCTTCTCCTCTTGCCTTCACACTTTCCCAACATCAGGGTCTTTTCCATGTTACACACCCCCTCAAAAGAGCAGGCGGGGAATGTGAGTCATTCCATAGATGCTCAGAAAGACCCTTGACGAACTGTCATCAGCTGACCACCACCAACAGCAAAAATTGCATTTAAAGATTACTTTGTAAAGACGTGAAATGTCTTTAATAGATTTCTAATTTGCTGTTTTTATGCTAATGGGTTGTTTGTTGTGATTTGTGACCTGTTCCACATACAATCCCATGAAATGCTTGGTATTTAACTTTACATAAAAGGTGTCCTTTATTAGATGGTGCAGATGGTGCAGTCATCATCATCATCATCATAGAAACCTTATCCTATCATTATGAGTAAACTTCAAGAAGGGTGGTGTCCTAAAATGGTAGTAGCAGGAAATAAATCTAAAATCTCTCTCTCTCTCTCTCTCTCTCTTTTTCAGGGGGGTCAGCTCCTTCTGGATTGCTCACCCAAATAATAATCTGATTGAGAACTCAGCAGCTGGTGCTCTGGTAACTGGATTTGATATATTTATTATATTGGGCAGAAACAAAAGGAAAATGAAAAATGTACAAGACAAAAATGTTGTGGCACCTTAAAGACTAACTGCTGTATTTTAATGCAAGCTTTTTGTGGGTTGCTTCCTCAGACCTTATTATTAGTTACATGTGTTGCTCACCTTTCCTCAAAGTGGCACGTGGCGCAACCCATGTGCTCCAACAACTTTGTGAAGTGGTCAAGCCGAGTGGAGGAAAAACAGGTCGCACGGAGTTCTGTGTCTCACCGGGAACCAAAACTGGACTTTCTCAAGTCCCAGTGCTGCCCTCGAATCTGTGGCATCACAGTAGCTGTCTAAACAATATAGGAAATATATTGTATCCCACTCGGTTATGAAATGAAGGCTTGAGATCTTATCCAGATTACAGCTTTAATTCTTGTCCTCTAAATTAGCTCTCCTTTCTCCCATGGAACTCTGGGTAATGTAGTTTCTGCCAGGACAGTGGTACAAGCTACTCCTTCCAAAAATGGAAAACATCTGTCGTGTCTCCCCTTAACCTTCTCTAGAGCCAACCTGCACCGATAATTCTTTGTCATACGTGATTTCCAGACTTGTGGCCATCCTGTTTCGGATGCGTTTTAGCTTTTTGATGTCCTGCTTGAAAGGGGACACGGGGTTATACAAATGCGAACTGATTAACACAAAACAGAGCTATAACTTAGGGCCGTATCGTTGACATCCAATGACCTGCTACTGGATCCCAAGTTTGATTTGGCTTTTCAACCAGTTGCCCCACGTTCCCAGCCTCATATTCAGCTTGGGATCCACTTAGAAACGGATTTGATCCTTTTCTGATGTATCGTGGCTAGACCAAATATCCCGGCTCCTGTAGGTATATTTCTGATTTGTGATGGTCTCTTGAGTGCTGGGTTGATAGCCAAAGTTGGGAGGAGGAGCAGCCGGTGAAAGCTCTTCCAAGCCGTCATTTCCTTTGCAAAACCACTAAACCAAATTGATTGGTGGCCTTGTTGGACATCCTCAAGCTGCTTTACGAGGAGAAGCCAAGGTGATCCAAGTGTGTACAACGGTGCTTCTCTTTCAAGTTGGATGTTGGCATGCTTGTTTCCTCTGGCAGGCAGGATGTGATATATACACAAAGGCTGAGGATCCTTCAACTGCAGCCATCTGCTTTCTTCTCCTCCTCCTTTCCCCAGCATGTGGGAATATGGTACCTCTTTCACCGGGTTCCGACGGGACAGTCCGAAGGACAGTATCCAGCCGGCCAGTCCGAGTTGACTCCTCTGGGGACCTTCCGCAACAACAGAGCCCATTCCAACTTCAAGGCATGTAAACGATGAGGGCTGTCCAAACTGTTGGGGTGTCTGTGACGTTCTGGATCTAGATGTGAAAATCTGCCCTGTCTTTCTTTCATGCAACTTCCCTCTTTCCACTTCCTGTCTGCCTTCTTGCATCACACCACCTCCTCGCCTGCACACGGTTAAGTCTGTGCAGTTCTTTCCATGCTCCTCCAGAAGGCTTGGCTTCCATGCCCTTGGCCACCTTGCAGGTTCTTCTGTGGGTGCATCTTCTGCTCACCCTTTCAGCTTGTCTATTCCTGGAGTCCCGAGCCTATGTCTTCAAGGTCCACGGCTTCTCTTGGCCATGCTCCTGTGATCACGAGACCTTCGTGCCTCCACTGTCTTCTACGGCTAACTTGTTTCTGGGCAGTTCTAAAGGTCCAGCTCTCCTACTTTCTCAAGGTTCTTCAAACCAGTGGTTCTCCACTTCTGACCTCACGTGGTGCACCTCAAACTACCCAAACAAGAACAGATGATAGTGGTAGGAAGGATTCCAGAGAAATCTGGGGCTGCAAGGCTACACATTGTTCCTCCCTGTTTTTGGTGTCCCTTTAGTTAAGTTTCTTCTTGAGTAATATGGCTGATGGGAACTGGAATCCTAGTAACATCCATAAGACCACAAGGCTCTCCTCCTTTGCTCTCCTGCTGTGTGATGTCTGTAACCGGTCCTGGTTTTCTCTTCCCTCCTGCAAAAACGTTTGAAATTCTTTGACCAAATATGGCACTGTATATCATCATAATAATATATCATAATTTTCCAGGCTGGCTTGTTTATTGGGAAAGGAGTCAAGACAACGAAAGCCAGCATTGAAAATCCCCGGGAATATCTGACAGTGGATAATGCCAGGTGTGTGAATAAGATGTCATTCTACTGTGGCCTGTCGGATTTAATGTTTACGCCTTTGGGGGGGTTTCTGAGCCATACAGTCCTCCTTCCTCTATTTTGTTGAAGGAGACAAAAGTCTATCATTAAAGTAACACAATAATTCACAATGTGGTTTGTTGCTAGGCTGGTAGGTATGGTGTAGTCACTAAACTGGTGTCAGATTTGGACAGGAGGGGTCTGGGTTCAAGTTGTGAAACATTCACTGGGTTATTCTGGACCGGTTGCTATTTCTCAACTCATCCTACCTCCTAGGGTTGTTCTGAAGATGATGTGGGGATGAGTTGACATCACATAGAGGCCAGTTCAAAAGCCTTGTTCCACTAAAGGGGGCAGTCGATGAATCCTCCAGTAACAGCGCATCTTGCAAAGATTCACTGGATGTGTAACGAGTCTTTGGAAATCAGGACACGGCTTCTGTGATTCCTCATGGGAGGCCATGCTGATGAGAGCTGAGAGATGCTGGCGATGGCAGCTTTTCAAGGGCAGCCAATCCATTCTGGCTTTTAATCCAAACTTCACAGGAACCCTCCGAGATACTGGAGCACACTCCCCCACACCCCACTTGGTTCAGGACCTTGGAGAGCTCCTGTACAGTTCGGCGCTAAAACCTGGAGCAGATTCATCACCCCTTAGGAAGTTGGTGTCTTTAAACTCTGCTGCCAACAATATCTTGCAGGAGTCTCAAGCCTCCCTTGCACCATAATGAGAAGTGTACTGTAAGTTGACGTTGGGTGACCTGGTAAAGGGTGCAAGAGAGAAGGACGGGAATTAAGAGAGATCACTTTCACAGAGCTTTTCCTGGAAGACCTTCCAGAATGACCGAGCAGCATTCATTCCTCGGGGGGGGGTTACAACCCAGAGGGGTCTTTCTATTGTACTTCTCTTCCAGCTTTTGCAATTTTTAGCCCTGGGCTACCATGTGTAGTAACGTGAACTCAGCGTGCATTTTTGAATCCCTTCCAACTGGTGTTCACGTAGCTGAAAAATGTTGTGGCTTTGTTTCAGCTGGAGCATGTGAGAGCGTGGTTTCTGTTTGATTGATGGCCCCCCTGCTGAATCTGAGTTGATCTCCCCGCTTTGTCAGGGCTGTAGTGATTAACTGGATTCTTTGCTCCAGGTTCCGCCCCCACCGAGATGCCGACCCCGAAAAGCCACGGGTTCCTGCTGTGATTGAGGGCCTCATTGCTTTCAAAAATAACGACCACGGAGCCTGGGCCCGGGGAGGAGAGATAGTCTTCCGGAATTGTGGGTAGGTGTCTTGAAATGTCACTCTTGATTCTGCCTAATTGGGGGGGGGGGAAATACCAATTTGTGCATGCCTTTCTGGAAACTTTATACTAATTTGTTTGCGTCTCCTTCCATTCTAGCTTCGCAGACAATGGCATTGGGCTGACTTTAGCTAGGTGAGTTTTTCTACCTGAATAATAATAGCAATCATGTCCTGTCATGTCAATGCTGACTTACGTTGACCCTTTTCAGGGTTTTCTAGGTAGGGAATACCTGGGTAAAAGAGAGTGCAGGAACCTCATGGTGCAGTAGTCGAACTACAGTAGTGCGGCCAAAACTGTGCTTTATGATCTGGGTTCAATCCCTGGTAGCTGGCTCGAGGTTCGCTCAGCCTTCCGTCCTTCCATGTTCAGTAAATTGAGTTACTCAGCTTGCTGAGGAGACAATGTATAGCCTCCATAATTAAACTGTAAACCACCCAGAGAGTGCTTTAGGCACTATGGGGCAGTATATAAGCAGCACACTTTAAGAAAAAATATATGCATATGTATTGGAAAACTGGGGACATGGGAGGTTGATGAAGTCCATGACCCTCAACGATTATGGCTAATAGTTAGGGATCAAGTCCTTTCCACCCACCTCTTCATCTTTCTGGTTGCCCTGCCCAGGATATGTTTGGAGGAACACAGGTATCTTCTGCCAGCAGATCAGCTCTGAATCACGTCCTGCGCAGGCCGTTCTAACTCTTTGCTCTTTGCCGAACCACAGTGATGGGACTTTCCCCGTTGATGACGGCTGCAGCCTTGAAGTGACTCAATCGCTCTTTGTCGGTGAAAGTGGCAACGTTGGTTCCCAGGGTGGACAAAACAGCTACTGGGGCAAAGGAGCCGAGGGAGAGCTTCGGACGCTGCCCCGGAACAAGTAAGTTATCACCGGATCTTGACTTCCTTTGCAAATCGGTGTAAGAGAAATGCATTCAGACTGGAGTCCCTGCAAACATGGAAGCTAACAGGTCTTGGATCCTTTCCAATGATTACTAGCCTCCTTACAACAAGCAGGGTGCAGGCAGGTAGGATAAAACATGTGTTTTGTACCATCTATGGAAGGAGGTTTTGCGTCTTCCCTGGTTCATTTATTTCTCTCTCTCTCTCTCATGAACGGCAGGAATGTCCTTGCTTGATAGCAAACCAAGGCCTGCAGTTAGAGACCCCACTGGATTGGAGGGCAGTCAAAACCATGTTTCCACTGTTTTGCATGTTCATGTTGGACTAAAGTTTTGCCCCCATTGAATCATGACCCAGGAACCTGCCTTTCCTCGTAGAAATCCGTCAGTCCAGCAAATGGGACCAGTTTCACCCTGTGTGTTTCTCCTACAGAGTTATAGGAGTTGGATCCCGCTTCATGCGGGATAGTTTGATGAGGGACTTAAGCTTCTCTTCCAGAGAGCCCTCCCTCTGAATGGCTGCAGCCACCCCTTTTCCCCTCCAGAAACCAGAAGTGGCTGGAGGGCGGCTTCTGTTTTTGTGTGTGTTTTTTTTAATAAAAGCTATGTTGATTCCAAAAGCAGAAATTAGAGACTAGGGCATCGGTGTGGCAGGAGGGTATGGAAATGGAAAGAGAATGTACCCCCCTGAGTAATTGCTCTCAAGATGCCAGATGCCAAACTTCAGTGCGACATCTCCCTGCTGGTAGACAACCCTTGCCTTCGGCTGCCTTGATGTCCTCCGATGCAGTAAACCTGCAGATGCATTTAGTTTGTCCAAGGCCAGATGCAGTTCAGTCTGAAGGCCTGAAGTACGACTTGCTGACCAACGTCAGTGGTTTCTCTGCATCCAATGAGAAGGGGCGCCATTTTGACATTTGCTTGAGGGGCGCCAACCCTGGACATTTCAAACCATGGGTTCCCCTTCTGTTCCTCACAGAAGATTTCTGTCTTCCGGTAGGACCTTTCCGATCCGCGGCTTCCAGGTATACGATGGTCCTGTCAGGCTGACGAGGAGCACTTTCAGGAAATTTGCCCCCACTGCGGACCGACGCTCGAGCGCGATCGGCTTCTTCATGAAGAACGCTTGGCAAGTGAGCCCTCAGAACAACGTGTCTTCGATCCGGATGGAGAGAAGTGTATGTGAGAACTTAAAACTGACTAACGGGGGTCGTTTTCTGTCCCCGAAGCAGATTCTTTTAGAGGAGGAGTGCCAGTTGGGAAACAAATTAAAACCCATCACCCAGTGTGTGCTGGTTTGCTGAGGATTGTCTTACTTAAGATGTCAGGAAGGAAAACGTTTGTTTGAAAGCATTACCTGTAAAGATTATTGGAACCGGCCGTTTCTGAGAACCGAACTGTATGAGAAGCCACCATTGCTTCTGGAAGGCAAAAAAGATTAGTTCTCTAGAGCAGCATTCCTGCAAAGCTGCTATGCCTGAGTACGTAGACATGCAAATAAAACCTGTGTCTACATTGCACTAGCCCCTCAAAAAAGTTTGTCTCATAGCTATAAAAGAGGTAAAAATGGCCCACTTTTTAAAATGTTTTCACCACAGTCTGATCTAGTTCTTTTGCAAACCAATCAATTCCTGAGTAAGGTTTCAGGCAAATTTTTCTGCCCTTAATCTAGACCACTGGTTCTTAACCTTGGGTTACTCAGGAGTTTTGGACTGCAACTCCCAGAAGCCTTCACCACCAGCTGTCCTGACTGGGGTTTCTGGGAGTTGCAGTTCAAAAGCATCCAAGTAACAAAGGTTAAGAACCACTGATCTAGACTAAATTGGGCTTTTTTAAAAAAAGACAAAATCTTGGGTTTTACATAAAACAGAGTGCACAGTCTTAGATTTGAAGCTCAAATCTTTGATCCAGGACTGCTGACAATGACAAATTAAACCGAGACCCCATAAATACACACTCTGGTTTCACTTCAGATTGAATAAGCCTTGCACCCAGAGCTACTGGAAAGAAAACAGGAGTCAGAAATCTTTGCTAATCTACTGCAAACCACCTAAGGATCCACCAGTAGATAAATGGTCATTTGCTGGCAGGACCGATGCAGGCTCAAAGTTGCCTTGTTTCATCACGTTTGCAAGAATGCCTGCATTTGAAGCAGTATTTCACTGATCCTTTAACATTCCTGCAGCCCTTTGAAGAGATGATAAAGAAAACAGCAAGAGAAGGATAGGTCCGTGGGCTTCAGATAAGGGCACTGTTGTAGGGAGACAGTGTCACGTAGCGGTTAGCGTGTTGGAAATGAGCTGGGGAAACCCGGTGTCACGTTTTAGCTTGGTCGTGATGCTCCTGGAGCAGCTTTGGGGGAAATGAATGGCCTCACTCAATTCCAGAGTAACTCTGTGGTTGAGGTCTCTGGCTGTGGAGCCAGAGGTTGGGAGTTCGATTCCCCCACTCGGCCTCCCTGACAGGGGCCAGACTCGGTAATCCATTGGGTCCCATTATTATTATGAGTCTACTTTTGTTCTGCGCTTGGTCACTGGGGAAAAGTGTTGCAATAGCAGGAAACATGGGTGTTGGCTGACAAGGGATTTAGCCCTGTCTTTCTTTCCACTGATGTCCTGTCTTTCGTTAAAGGTTGGGCTCAAGGTATTCCTGGGCACGCCAGGCCAGTGGTTTGGAGAGAATGACAATGACGGTGACAAGACCTCCATTTTCCATGATTTGGACGGCTCGGTGACGGGATGTCCAGACACCTTCGTGGGGAGGGCGGACAACTATCTGATCCGTCACCCAGGCTGCCTTAGTGTCCCAAGGTGGAATGGAGTCGTATGCACCGGGAGATATGCACAGGTAACGATGGGTAGGGTGTTCCTCCATAAGATGGGAGTTGGAATTTTGTTTCCTGTAATTTGACTCTGCTTATTTGGATCCTACCCTTTGGAGGAGAGGAAAAGGGAGTTTGCTCCATCTTTCATGGAAACTGCATCACTTGGGTGGCCTTTGGTCTGAAAGATCTTAAGGAGGAGTCGCCCCGTCCAACGCTTGCCCCCACGACGAGGTGCCTTCCTTTGTCCTTCTGTCCCGGGATTCAAGTGAGACAAGTGGCCTCTCGGCCAGGCCGTCTGGAAAGATGGCGCCATCCCATGCTGTCTTCACTGGGCAAAACAGCTCTCAAACCATGAGATGAAACAAGCAAAAGAGATGCCAGCTTCTACAATTAGCCTAATTTGTGCAGGTTCCTGATACAAGATTTTATTTTTGTGCAGGGCGTGCATCGGTCATGGGAAATGCCTGCTTTCTTTGCACTTGGTTGGTGTTCGACATTCTGGAACCCCTCTTTTTATGCCAGTTTTAATTTTATTTGATTTTTTATGGTGGAGGAATGGAATCTTGACTTAAGTATGCATGAGAAAGTGGAAGAAGGCAGAGACGTAACGTATTCCCAGATCTTTTTTTACTCTAATCACCAGTTTCTACAAACTGAGCTGTGCAAAGCATCTGCTTTTTGTTGGGGGTTCACTTTGTCTCTTATGTCCATTCTTGATTAATTCTACGTGTATTGGCTGCTGTCTATTTGCCACAGACCCTATATTCCTTGTAGCTGATGCTTTGGTTGAAAAAAATATTGGGAGGTTGGGAGTTCAGTTCCTCACTCTGCCTCCTTAAAAGGGTAGGACTTAGAGGATCATACAGTCCCTTCCAGTTCTAAGCTTCTTCTTCTTCAAGCTGCAGTTCTTTTTCCTTTTCTAGAAGCTGCAGCTCTCCTTCTCCTAGAAGCTGCAGTTCTTCTTCTTTATCTTCTATAAACTGCAGTTCTTCTTCAAACTGCATTTCTCCTTCTCCTCCTCCTCCTTCTAGAAGCTGCAGATCTTCTTCTTCTTCGTCTTCAAGCTGCAGTTCTTTTTCTCCTCTTTCTAGAAGTTGGAGTTCTTTTTCTTTTTTTCTTCTTCTTCTTCAAGCTGCAGTTCTTCTTCTTCTTCTTCCTCTTCCCCTCCTCTTCTTCTTCCAGAAGGCAGAATCTTTTCCTAGCCCTTTCTGGAACTGCAAGTGGAGGGACCGAAACAAGGCCCACCCTAGCTCAGTTTTTTTAGCATTAGCAACACCCTGGGTGTAAGGAAGGAAACCACTTCTACCTGCTCAGTGCGGCATTAAATTCAGAGCAGACCAGCAGAGCTTACTCCTTTTGCTTTATTCTCTTTGTTAGGATCTATTTATATATTTTTCACATCACCTCACTCCAAGGGGTGAGGTCCTTTTTTCCCCATCCCAGAAACTTTCCTTGGCTGAGTCTTAGATTAGATTAGATTAGATTAGATTAGGCATCCTTCAGTCTCAAGAGATGATGGTAATGTTCTCTGTATGGAGGACTTGGAACAGTGTCTAGTGTGGCTGAGAAGTCCCATTCGAGAGTGACCATCCCTTCCACACTGAAGATAAATACAATCTGTCCCCTGTCCAGCTCCTTGGTTTGGCTGCTTTTGGGACTGCCTCTTTGCCTCAGCCTGCTGGACAAGGGTCTCTTCAAATTGGGAGAGGCCGTGATGCACTGCCTGCCTCCAGGCTGAGCGCCATGTTGCACCGCCTGAACACTCAGATGTCAAGGTTTCCCATCTGTTGAGGTCCATTCCTAAGGCCTTCAGATCCCTCTTGCAGATCTCCTTGTATCGCAGCTGGGGTCTCCCTCTGAAGCGATTTCCCTGAACTAATTCTCCATACAGGAGACCTTTTGGAATCCAACTATCAGCCATTCTCACAACATGTCCAAACCCAATGCAGACGTCGCTGTTTCAGTAATGTATACATGCTGAAAATTCCAGCTCATTCTAGGACTACTCTATTTGAGTCTTAAAAGCATCAACAAACAGTAACTTCTGGGGGAGGCGATCCTTTCCTTTTCTCCCTTGTGAGACTTTCCCTTCCAGTTTGCCTCTTAACCCATGAGGTGTTTCATTTCCAAACTTGCCTAGACCTGGGTGGGATCTAAATGCGGACCTGGCATCCAGACAGGAGAGGTATTTATGTTGAAACACAACATTTGACATTTTAGCTTTCAAGATGCCCATCACGGTCACGCAGCATCCAACTTTAAACCTTGGCTGAGTTGAGAGGGACTGGTGTGATGTGCACGTTCTGAACTTAAAGCCCAGAAAAGGCTTAAAAGGAGTAAGCCAATCATGGAAATCTGGGAAGCCTTCAGGGTCCCTTTGATCCTGGAAACTCCATTACCAAATCTGCTTTTCTTTTCCCTCTGAAAGACAAGACTCTGCATTCATCAGTGGTACAGAGAGGCAAAAAGTCTTCATTTAGTCCATGTGCATTTATACCGCTTTCTTGCTGGGTTTGAATTTGGCTTATGTGTTTATGCGCAAGTCTGTCTGTGCATGCACAATCACACTGACATGCAGCCACATGTGCGCATAATAAATTTGTCGCTACCCACCCAGTGAGTTTCTTTCCATGGCTACATTTGTCACTACCCACCCACCCAGTGAGTTTCTTTCCATGGCTAAGCGCGGATTTGAACCCAGATCTCCTGAACAGAGATGGGCACGAACCAGGAAAATGGTGGTTTGTGTGGGTTCGAGGTTCGTTGGTATTCACAGCCCACAAATTGCGAACTTTCGTGAATTTTCATGGTTCATGCCATTTGGGACTTCAAAGGGCAGTAGAAAGGCCTTCACATGATGCAGAACTCGCCGTGAGTCTTCAGCTGACTCTCCCGGGAGACACCCCAAATTCGAGTTTATTGTTTTTAAAAAGGATTTGAGCAAACGATGCCTGTTTCTTGCCCAGATTTCAACCCGCCTGGAATCTCAGCCTGTCATCTGGGTGTGTTCCAGTTGCCCCTTTGAAGCAGCTTGAAGAAAGGGGCGACCTGTCTCTACATGCCCCTTAATGTCTTCCCTTTGTTCATGTCTTTATTTACAATTTGTCGGGGCTTACGCCTGAAACAGGATGCCTCCCAACTGAGCTGATCTTGGTTTGTTATGATGACTATGTTCTCCTCCCTGTCCTGACTTGACTACCTGCCAGTGATTCTGTCAGAGTCTTTTAGTTGGTGGTTCTGGTTTTATCCAAACCCCACACCTCCGGTTCAGCAAATAACAGGGCAGGAGCAAACTCCACGTGGCCCGGTTGGAACAGCAGCCATAAGTGGCATGGTTCTGCCACCGCTTTTTGAATTTATATTCTCCCGATCCTCCACAAACTTCAAGGGAGGTGATTTCCGTCCCATTTATTGCATCTCTCTTCCACCCCTCCTCTAGTGAGCTGGAGATGGTGTACATGATTTTCCTCTGCCCCACAACCACTCTGTGAGGTAGGACAGGCTGGTAGGTGTGCCTGGCTGAACTTCATCCCATGAGCTTCATGGTCAAGGAAGGATTTGAACCCGAGTCTCCTTTGTCCTGCTGCAGCACTGCTCTCTACTTCCTCTCGATTTAATGATATGAGTACCGTCATCCATTGTCTTGTTCCATTCTGTAGGTCCTTTCTCCCCTTCTTTGGCATTTTGTAATACACAATTACACACAGTAAGCAAATTAGGACTGAGGCTCTCCTTCTCTGGCCACATCACGAGAAAGCAGAAGTCTCTGGAAAAGACACTCAGGCTAGGAAAAAGGGAAGGCAGCAGGAAGACCCAATACAAGATGGACCGACTAACAGGCTTGAGTTTCCGAGCATTGAGCAGGGGCTGACTTCATAGGGGTCACAGATCCATAGGGTCACCACAAGTCAGAAGGAGTTTGATGGCCCATAACAACAACAACAACATGTAATTTTAGTTTCCTAAGGGACTTCTCTCTCTCTCTCTCTCTTTCCTTGAATGGTCAAACAATCAGCCGTCTTTGGTGTGAGTTCCATTTCAAAGACATCTTTATGACCCTCAAAGCACAGCGCTTCCCAACATTGCTCTCTGTGTCTCCCTGTTTGCCCTGGACCAGATCCACCAGGCTCTCAACCTCGGAGACTCGATTCTAGTTTAGAGGCAAAGGCATGTAAAGGGGATGCAGCTGATCATGCGTCTCTCCCTCTGCCCCGTCCCTTCTCCTGTCTCCCTTGTTTCTCATCTAGCTCTACATTCAAGCCAGGCACCCTGAGACTCTGACCTTGTCCATCGCCAGCGCCGCCTACCCTTCCCGTCCTCTGAAGCTGCAGGGCGTGAACCGAGGGGTGTCCTATCAACAGTACCAGCCGGTGGTGATGCTGGAGGGAGCCTACGTCCTCCAATGGGATGGCCGAGCCCCAAAAGATGTGATCCTGTATCCCATCAACTTCAATAGGTACCGAACCCACTGATCTCTTGAGTAGCAAGTTGTGGGTTTTTTTGGCTGTTGTTTTCTTTAAAAATATTCGTTTCTGCTGTAACGCTGTTTGAAGTTCCTGCTGGTTTTAGTTTCCAATTTCTGAAGACGTTGGCCTATTTAAAGCTGCTTCTTCTTTTTCCCCCCAAGGGACATTAACAAAAGACCAAGAAAAAAAAAACTCCCACCGCTTTTAACTTCTGCTGCCCTTTTTTAATGTGCAAAGCTATTTCTCTTTCCAATAAGTCCCCCCCCCTTTTTTTTTTTTTTGGAAGGTGATCCAAGTTAATGTTGGCATGTTGGCCAGGAGATCAAATCCGTAGGCTCCTTGGCATGTTTGGTCTCATTAGTTTACATTAGCTGCCGTGCTCATGATTCATTGGCCACCCTACCCTCTCGCTCTCCCTCCGCCTCCCTCTCTCTATAAAGGGCAGCAGCCGTTTTGATGAGAAGCGAGCCAGGTTTCCGTGTTCTCCTCACTTCCTTGTCTTGTAGTCTAAACCCTGCAATTGCTACTTCATTTTTCAGCTACAGAAAGCTAAAAATGAAAAAAAAAAAACCATTAGAACAATTGCCCCCATGGAAAGTATGCTGGATCAACACATGGGCATGCATTTTGGCCATTGGATCCCTCCGAGATCTCATGATTTCGCTTATCTTCTTTTTTCTAAAGTTTCCCTACCCAGTGGGGATTTGAACCCAGGTCTCCCAGTCAGACAGGGGTATTTTGAAGCTGTCTGATACGCACAGCCTTCCTGGATGTCTGGTGCATGATGTCTGCTGGCTGTCTTCGTCTAATGATAGCAAGGATTGTTCTGTTAGCGAGTATAGTGTCATAGAATAATCAACTTCGAAGTAGTCAGTTGTGTTTTAATGTGTGTTTTTTTTCGAAACAATACCTTAGCTCTCTTAGACTTGAAATGGCAGTGAATGCCCATATTGGTCTTTGAATTGTCCATACGGGGTTGAGTGCTTTCTTCCGTCTTGCTAAGCTTGAAGGGCAGTGAGTGGAGACTTACAAAGAACGGGCTGATGATGGACCCGCTAGCTTTTGGACACAATGAAGAATATGGAAAATGCCGATTGTGCAAAAACCTGGAAACCTGATTGACGTGTTTAATAGTCGTCTTCTGGTCTTGCGAAGCACAGCGTGATAGCGTTAGGAAGTTATTTTTACCCCAACGGACAGAGATAGCAGGGGATGCCAAAGATATGAAAAGCGTATCTGGAAGAAATATTCCACGTTGGCGAAGAAAAGGTCACAGGGGGAAAAGAGAATTCTTAAGCTGGGATGGAGTCAGTTCATGAAGTCATGAATAATGTTGTCACTGAAGAGCAGCACATGGCTGTCATTACGGCCCAAAAAAATGTAAAAAGAGGTTTGGTGCTATCAAGAAATAAAAGAAAGGTTGGGGGGGGGAGAGAGAGAGCATGATAATTATATTCTTGCAATTGCAGAGCTGGAAGGGACCCTATGAGAGAGATCAGAAGAAAGGTTGGGGGGGAGAGAGCATGATAATTATATTCTTACAATTGCACAGCTGGAAGGGACCCTATGAGATCATCAGGTCCAGCCCTTGTCAAGGAGGCACTTGGGCCTCCTAGAGCCAGCCTGGGTGGCCTTGGGCCAGCTGCACTGTCCCAGGGTGCCCCCTAGAGGCAGGGAATGGTAATACACCTCGGAGTACTCTCCACCTGGAGAACCCTGAAAAAAAATCAACATAAGTCAGAATTGACATGACAGCACATGATGATGAGATCCATTAGTGGCCACAAGTCTCAAAGGCTGCTTGCAACCTTCTGGTTTCACTCATACAGACTGCAGATGTTTTTGTTTTGAACTACAACGTACAGACTCTCACCTGCTGGTATGGACGGGGGAGTATGTTGCAGTCCACTAAGTGGCATTTTCCATCCCCTGGTTTCAAAGAGGTTTCAATGCCAGCTGCTGGAAACCGACCGCTAAAATTGGCACCAGGTCCTGATTCTGGGTTTCCTGGGGCCCATCCAGTTGACGCCTGGTGAACACAAGCGGGTGGCTTAGATCCACCGTGGCGCAGAACCAACAAGGGGCTTCCGTGTGTCAACGGCCAGTGACTCATCCAGATCAACCCTAGGCCCAGAGTTCAGCAGCTTTCTGGTCCTTAAGAGATGACTATTTTTCAATAGCCAGGGTGCGGCAACTTTATGACTCAATTTTCCAACGTTTGCAGAAGCCAATCAACTTATATGATGTAAACAAGAATATTGGCGTTGGGGGGGGGCGGGGAATGGGATTTACATTCCAGGTCTCCAGAGACTTCTTTTCGGAAGAAAATTAATCCCATGTAGAGTAGATCCATTGACTCTGTAGGATTTATGGAAATGCTGGCTGGACATTCAGAAAGTGATTTTGCCGGTCTGGGAATCAGGATAGGGTGCTGGTTGGTTGGTTGGTCGGTTTGAAACATATTTAGGAAGTGCTGCCTTTGTTGGAAAAAAAATATTTCTTACACTGTTGTGTTAAATTTAGGAGAGTCCTTGGTGCCAGAACAGAAGGCTTCGATGAAATGTTGCACTGTGCAAAATAACGCTGGTCTCTAGCAGGACTCTTGGAAATGATGCTTCTTCTTGGCCAAGCTTTTGCAAAAAGTAGAAAGTTGCTCATTTCCCCAAGCTCAGAGTCCTACGTTCTTTCCACGGCAAGGGTGGAGATGCAGGGCCCATCTTTTTTTTAATCCTCTGGCAATGTGCCACTGGATTAATTGCATTTAGCATCTTCTGTTCATTTTCTTTGTGATATATTAGTTCCCCTTTATTTGACACTGGTTTGGTCTCCTCTTGAGTCTGGTGTCCAGTTCTGGACGCTGTATTGTAAGAAGGATGCCAACAAATTGGAGCAAACTCAGAGGAAGGCAACCAGGATGATCGGGAAACCAAGCCCTCTGAGGAAAGATGGAAAGAACTGGGCCTGCTTAGCCTTGAGATAAGAAGACTGAGGGGAGATAATATGACAGCATTTTTCAAATACTTGAAAAGTAGTCATACAGAAGAGGGACTGGATCTGTTCTCAATCATCCCAGAGTGCAGGGCACGTAATAATGGGCTGAAGTTGCAGAAAGCTAATAGAGACCTTCAAGACAAAGGTAGAGGACCCTCTGTCAGATCTGCTTTGATTTGGATTCCTGCCTTGAGCAGAGGAATCGGATTCAATGGCCTCGTAGGCTCCTTCCAACTCTGATTCTTAGTTTACTGTGTGCACCCTCTATGTAAGTACATATTGGTCTGTAATACTGGGTTAGGTGGTTGGCTTCCATGGAATGTGTCCTTTTAAAAATTTTATTCCTTTAAGTGCCAAAGCTCACAGTAAATATTGAGTGTTGTTAGGGGTAGGTTGTCGGAAGGAGTGTTTGTGGGGGCGGATAGGCACAGCTGGCTGGGCTGAGTGAGAATCTGGCAAGGAATAAGCCCCCAAAAATGTCTTTCGCACCACAAGCTGAGACATGTGCGGCCGGGCCTTTTGTCTTGGCTCGTTTGGCGAGGGCGAAAGTGAACAGGCGTGCCACGACTCTTGTGGTCCGGTTGGTTGGTTCAGGTTGTTTGCATGCTTTCCTTTCTGTAGGTTGAGATGTTCTCGAATTCGCATGCGGCAACCCCACGCAACACATCATGTTTTGATGTCAGAAAGGCAGAAGTAATTCGGCAGAGGTATTTAGGATTCTGCATGAGCTTGGGCATGTTTGAGGGTGCTTGGTTGGCTGTGCTTGAGCCTCATCCGTGGTAGAAGAGAACCTACGTAAATGAACTTCAAATTGAAATTCAAAAGAGGAGGGGGTAGCGATAGCCTAGTGAGTGGAGATGTAGCGGGGGGCAGTACACCCTTTTGCAATAATAGCCCCCCCCATCTCTGGCAACATGCTGAGCACATAATTACAGAGACACCATTGCAGAGCATGGATGAACACCCTCCTGTCTGGTTCTCAAGAGCTTAAGAAATGGCCAGACGTAGATTAACTCTTCAGATCAGTGTCCCCAGATGTTCTTGGACTACAACTGGAGCACCCTCCTGTCCAATTCTCAAGAGCTTAAGAAATGCCAGATGTTCTTAGACTACAATTCCCAGAAGTCCTGGCCAGCACAGCTCATGGAGAAGGCTTCTGGGAGTTTGAGTCCAAGACCCAAGGTTTGGGAACCAGCGCTTTTAAATGGACCAGATCTTGGGGAAGTCACTGCAGCTGCCCAGCAGGGCCATGCCAAATAGGGGATTATGGGATTTGTAGTTTAGAACCCAGTTTTCCAGACTTTGAAACGGACTTCCTATGTTAGGAATCGAAAGTTTGTGCGGAAGAAAAAAAAATCAGCCACTCACTTCTAATTTGAGCTAGCCGGCTAATGAAGCTAATGGAGGCCCCTTCTGAAGGTTGGCCACCCTTGATTTTTATCTTGAAATCCCACATAGTTTTCTTTGCAAGCTCGTGGGCAGGAGAGGCAGAAAACTGTGCAGACTCGTAACTCGCTATCTTAAAGAAACAAGGGCAGCCTTAAGCAGCGGGGCTTGCGAGCGGCTTATCTCAGCTGGCGCGCTGCGAGTCAGTTAAGATTAAAACTAACCAGGCATCACAAAAGGCCAGAAAAGGCACTGGGATTGCGTGTTCAGCCCAGAACTCTGGCAGGGAAAAGTGTCGGGATGTTTAACATAAGATGGGAAGGAATGCAGATATTAAAATTCTTCCCTCGGATTTATGGGCTCGGCCTCCGGAGGCAGGCGGGATGCCCCTGCAGGTGGGCTAGACTCTGGCAACGAGTTTAACCTAGCGAAGGCCAGCGTTGTGTGCGCTCCTGAGACCGGAGTGAGAAATATAACGGAGGAAATGGAGTTGTCATTTTGAGTGAGCCGACGAATTGGCTCGTCATGCCTCTCCTACTAGCTGATGTATTCAGTGGAAGTGCTGCCTGCTGATTTTTTCCATCCACCCCTTGTTCCACTTCATCGGGTAGCA